GGTTCGGGAGGGCAGGAGGTAGAGTCGGAGAGTCAGGAAGGGTTGGTTGAAGAGTTGGTTGAGCCGAGAGGGCAGGAGGTAGAATCGGAGTCATTTTCCCCTCCACGCACGTACCATCTAATCGTCGTGCGCGGCATGAGCTTGCTGGTCACAACACTGCTGCGAATGAGAATGTTGAAGTCAGAGAAGGCAGAACCTGTGCGCAAACCTCGGGCCGTAAACCAGCCGAGCGTATCCGGTCTCATGGCCACTCTAGGACCTATTTCCGCATCTGAAATTGTAGAAGCACCCTTAGTGGCAGAGAGCGTCTGATACTATGAAACTGCCGAGATAGCTCTTTCAGGATGTAGACAGAGCCTGGTAGCTANGCTCATTCAGGATGTAGAGACAGAGCCTGGTAGCTACCGAGAAGCCCGCCAGTCAAAGCATACCGTGATTTGGGACAAAGCCATGTCTGCAGAGTTTGAAGGCTTGTTAAGAGCAGGAATGTTCGCGTTAGCAGTAAAGGCCCCGATAGGCTGTAACGTGATAGATGCTAGATGGGTCAATAAATGGAGAGCAGACAAAACAGGCAAGATAGTGAAGGCCAAGGCTAGGCTTGTAGGGAAGGGCTTCAAGCAGAAGTATGGTGTGGATTATCTTGAGACTTTCTCGCCTACTGCAAATGCTGCATCGATTCGTTCGATGGTAGCATTGGCGTGCAAGTATGATTTGGAATTTCTCCACTTTGACATTGAGCAAGCGTTTGTTCAGTCGAAATTGGATCATGAGGTGTTCATGAAGTTGCCTCCTGGCCGCGAGTCGATGTCAGGAAAGGTCGTCCGTTTAGATGGACTGAGGCAGGCATGTAGAACATTTCTCAAGAGATTTGTGTCGGACCTGAAGAGGATTAGTGTCAAACAATCTCTATCTGACTCCTGTGTTCTGCGTTTCATGATNAGGATGTAGAGACAGAGCCTGGTAGCTACCGAGAAGCCCGCCAGTCAAAGCATACCGTGATTTGGGACAAAGCCATGTCTGCAGAGTTTGAAGGCTTGTTAAGAGCAGGAATGTTCGCGTTAGCAGTAAAGGCCCCGATAGGCTGTAACGTGGTAGATGCTAGATGGGTCTATAAATGGAGAGCAGACAAAACAGGCAAGATAGTGAAGGTCAAGGCTAGGCTTGTAGGGAAGGGCTTCAAGCAGAAGTACGGTGTGGACTATCTTGAGACTTTCTCGCCTACTGCAAATGCTGCATCGATTCGTTCGATGGTAGCATTGGCGTGCAAGTATGATTTGGAATTTCTCCACTTTGACATTGAGCAAGCGTTTGTTCAGTCGAAATTGGATCATGAGGTGTTCATGAAGTTGCCTCCTGGCCGCGAGTCGATGTCAGGAAAGGTCGTCCGTTTAGATGGACTGAGGCAGGCATGTAGAACATTTCTCAAGAGATTTGTGTCGGACCTGAAGAGGATTAGTGTCAAACAATCTCTATCTGACTCCTGTGTTCTGCGTTTCATGATGAGAAACGAGGTGATGGGTATGATCGCGATTCATGTGGATGACTTTCTTTATGGAGGAATTGAGAGTCTTGCCAAGATAGTTTTGCAAGCGCTAGGTGACTCTTTTCACACGAAGAATTTTGGCGAGGTCAATTATTTCATGGTTGCGCGTTTAGTCGCGACCGCGAGGCTGGCAAGATTGACATGTCTCAAGAGCGTTGCGTCAGGAGTGTTCTTGAGAGATTCAATATTTGTCGCACCAGCTCGACTCTGCTCCCCCTGCTAGTGTTTTCAGGTCCGTGATGGAGGAGGAGGAGGCAGGGGATATGCCGTTCCGAGAGGTGGTGGGGAGCCTGATGTGGATCGCCAACCAGACGAGGCCCGACATCTCAAATGCTGTGCGGGCGGTGGCAAGGCACTCTCACGAGCCAAAGAAAAGCCACTCGAAGGCGGCCCAGACGATTCTGAATTATCTTCTGGAGACGGCACATTAAAATTTTGAAGTACAAGCAGGACACTATGGTAGACGTAGGCACGTTGGTGAACGTAGACGCAGACTTCGCCAGTAAGGCCACTGACCGTAGATCAGTTTCGGGAGCACTAGTTCTTGTAGCGGCCTGTCTTGTTGCTTGGATTTCTAGGACGCAGAAATGTGTCATACTTTCAACAACTGAAGCAGAGTATGTTGCGATGGGTGACGGTGTAAAAGAGGCTCTGTTTGTCAACGGAATGCTCGAGTTCTTGAGGCCTAGTGATAGAATCGATAAGATTCAGGGNATGAGAAACGAGGTGATGGGTATGATCGCGATTCATGTGGATGACTTTCTTTATGGAGGAATTGAGAGTCTTGCCAAGATAGTTTTGCAAGCGCTAGGTGACTCTTTTCACACGAAGAATTTTGGCGAGGTCAATTATTTCATGGTTGCGCGTTTAGTCGCGACCGCGAGGCTGGCAAGATTGACATGTCTCAAGAGCGTTGCGTCAGGAGTGTTCTTGAGAGATTCAATATTTGTCGCACCAGCTCGACCCTGCTCCCCCTGCTAGTGTTTTCAGGTCCGTGATGGAGGAGGAGGAGGCAGGGGATATGCCGTTCCGAGAGGTGGTGGGGAGCCTGATGTGGATCGCCAACCAGACGAGGCCCGACATCTCAAATGCTGTGCGGGCGGTGGCAAGGCACTCTCACGAGCCAAAGAAAAGCCACTCGAAGGCGGCCCAGACGATTCTGAANTTGCGTCAGGAGTGTTCTTGAGAGATTCAATATTTGTCGCACCAGCTCGACTCTGCTCCCCCTGCTAGTGTTTTCAGGTCCGTGATGGAGGAGGAGGAGGCAGGGGATATGCCGTTCCGAGAGGTGGTGGGGAGCCTGATGTGGATCGCCAACCAGACGAGGCCCGACATCTCAAATGCTGTGCGGGCGGTGGCAAGGCACTCTCACGAGCCAAAGAAAAGCCACTCGAAGGCGGCCCAGACGATTCTGAATTATCTTCTGGAGACGGCACATTAAAATTTTGAAGTACAAGCAGGACACTATGGTAGACGTAGGCACGTTGGTGAACGTAGACGCAGACTTCGCCAGTAAGGCCACTGACCGTAGATCAGTTTCGGGAGCACTAGTTCTTGTAGCGGCCTGTCTTGTTGCTTGGATTTCTAGGACGCAGAAATGTGTCATACTTTCAACAACTGAAGCAGAGTATGTTGCGATGGGTGACGGTGTAAAAGAGGCTCTGTTTGTCAACGGAATGCTCGAGTTCTTGAGGCCTAGTGATAGAATCGATAAGATTCAGGTACGAGAGGACAACGAGGGTGTGATTGCACTTGCTGAGAATCCACTCAGTTCGTGTAACAGTAAGCACATTGACGTGAGGCACCACTTTCTCAGGAATTTGACAGAGGAAGGAGTGTTGGAAATAAGACATGTCTCTAGCGAAGGACAGCATGCGGACATTCTGACGAAGGCTCTGCCGAGAGTTCTTTTTGAAGTTCATCGTAATGCTCTAGGTTTGATTTCTGAGAAGTAGTCTAGAGAGTTGTGTTTTATTTTGGTTGTTGTTATTCTGATAAATATTTGATCTGGTCGAGACAACAGCCCCAAACGAAAGATTCGGTATAACCGTGAATCCGTGGTTTGTGGAAGCGTTCCGGAAATTTCGTGAAAGAGCGGCGAGAGGCAAAAAAGGGTACACGGGGGGGGGGGG